AGCAGGAAGTTTCTGGCCCTCTTCAGTTCCGAGGCAAATTCCTAATTTTATTACAGGCGCGTCTGTGGGAAGGGCAGCGTCACACACCGCGTTACGCTGGTGAGATAAATAAAGGGGCAACCAATTTCACCATTTCCACATTAATGTTTTTGGGTGGCAGCGACAGAGTAAGGCAGTTTTTTAGGTCAGCAGCCAGCAGACCTAAAAGGACGCTTGTTTCCCTCCTGACTACGATCATTGTAAGCCCAGAGGCAGCAGGCGCATACTATGGGATGGATGCCTATGGCGAGCAGCCGGTTATGCAAACAGTTTTATAACCTGCTGAGGAGAGGGAGGCGGGGAGGGGAACACGAACTTCCACTCCAAATCAGACATCAGCTCCATTTTTTTCTTGCTCTGTACATACTGTAATATAGCTACTCTGGAAATTCAGTGCCTGGCCTCCTGCCTAGTGTTTATGCAGTTAACTTTGCGTACAAGCTGTGAAAATTAAATAAATAGATTCTCGGTATGTCTGATAGGATGTGTTCATGAGATAACACCTATGTCTTGCCATCATACTGACTGCATCTCCTCTGCCTTGTTTTCTTATTCCCGTTTTTGTATATGTATCACATACTTTTTGTCACTAAAATCATCCATAAAATCTGATGAGAGCAATTGTCTTGTTTCTAAGGAGAAAAGCAGACAGCTAAAAGAAATCTCCCAGTGCTGCATCTGACTCCTCTTCAGAAAGGAAAGCAGGGATTGTAAAAAGTAACAGCAGGAGAAACAGAAAAAAGAAAATGGCAATCGTTAAGCTCCTAAAGAAGCAGGAATGGCAATGGGCAACTCTGGGAAATTTTAGTTTTTCTTTTGTTGTCTTATTTTTGTGGATGGTATCTGACCCTAAAAGCCACGTCATATCAACTACGACACCTACTTGAAAAACCAAGAACGCACAATGTAAGACTGCAAACCATGCAATAATAACCGAAGACAACGTACCTAAACAATTCTCTTGGAAAACACCAGAGTGCACTACTGCATAGTCAAGATGATTTACAGGCAGACGAAGCAACGTTATTATTGAGGTGTGGGTTTGGTCTAATTTAACACAAATGACCTACACACTGCAAATGGCAATTTTCTTAGTTTCAGATACTTGATTCTAAGGCAAACATACACGATGTTTGGGTCCCTTAACACCTGAACTCCTTGTTGATTTTCTTTGCTGTCAAAACCAGGCTATATAAAATATGTACCAAAAGGCAGTCACTGGACATAAGTTATCTAAGACGATGCATTCAACTTAATGATGGGATCTGCCATCAGAACATAGTTAAGAAATTCCTCTCTCTTGTTCAATTTGGTGCAGTTAGAGTGGCTAACCCAAGAGCATTGTGTGCACTTTAAGGAGATGTGGGTACTAACAGAGGTGTTATTAAATAGCCAGAACTTTTAAGCATTCTTCTGAGTTTCCATTGTAAAACAGACTCATTCAGGCCAGAAAGCACCTTGGGAGGTCTGTAGTCCAACGTCCTGCTCAAAGCAGGGTCATGGTAAATTCAGACTACGTTGTTAAAACATTATCCAGTTGGTCTTGAAAAGCTCCACAGATGGAGATTCCAGAGCCACTCCGGGCAATCTGCTCCTGTGTTTATCCTCCTCACAGTGTGTGTGTTTTCCTTACACCAAGTCAGAATCTCATCTGTATCAGCTTATGGCCATGATCTCTTTTTTCTCGTATCACAGAAGTCAGTGAACTGCCTAGCTCCAAATTCTCTATAGCCATCAGCACTGGGGGGAACCCCTAAGCCTTCTCTTCTCCAGGCTGAACAAGCCCTGTTCCCTTGCCTCTCCTCACAGGAGCATGCTCCAGTCCCAACCATTTTGGTGGCTCTTCACTAGACTCACTCCAATTTATTATCTTTCTTGAATCTTAACTACATGTGTTAAATACACATTCCTTTATACACAGGTTCTCCAAATGCAGAACTTTGCTTTTCTTGAAGGCTTACCTTGATGAAGTAGCGAACACTTACGATGCTTTTGTGGGAACCTAAACGTGAGGATCTTGAGTCAGGCACACTACCTCACATTGCACTGAACTAGCAGCAGAAGCAGAAAGCCTGGATATCAGGGGTCTCCCTGGCTGCAGGAATCCAGACAAACATTTTTGCCTGCCGTTCCTCTGTCAAGAAAATAAAGACAAACTCCCATTTGAGCGGATTTCCTGAGGTATTTATGTATATGGGAACTAACAGGTTAGCCTAAAATGAATAAAACAGCAGGTTTCATTCATTCACAAGGTACTTGATTGCATTAGACTCGCCACAAACACTTCTCAATTCATCCTTTCATTAATGAATAGCACTTTCATACCAAGAAGGTAACTGAAATGTCACGACTGCACATTTCTAGTGCTAAACACAATTAAATGGTAATGTAGCTGATACAATCACAGTGCTGTATTTCAGTTAACATCGAATTTTTAAACATTTTGAAAGCAAGATCATTGCAGTTGATTTGACTTGCTGAGGGTGCATAGTGTCACCTAATGAAATGCAATCCAAGCTATGCACCATCTTCGTACCAAAATCTTCACCTTTTTGCAGAATTTAGTGCTTAACTATGTATATTGGATCCTGGATATTTTACAAAAAGCACTTAATGAAAGAGAGGCCTTCAGTGCAAGACTATTTGATTTCTAGTTTCTTTTTCAGCAGCAAAGCTTCTGGTGGTCATTCCAGACAACACAGTGCCAGGCACTGAGCCCTGTGCAGCAGATCTCTGCTACACTGAAATGAGATACGAGTTCCCTAGGAAATAGTGAAGTAGCAAGTATATGTGACATTTGTCCTCTACTAAGCAGAATCAGTGATGGCCACGTATTTTAGACTGTATCAAGAGTTCTACAAAGCGTCAGACAACTTTGCAGCCTTCTGTGCTCACTGCATTTACACAGAAGAGGGCATAGAGGGGAAAATTTTCATTTGGTGAACTGATGAAGCCTCCTCTCTCCTCCTGCTGTCAGTGTGGTGGGTGACTGATTCTCCCAGACTTCTCTCAATGCAAGACAATCTCATTTTTTAGGTCATTACTGTTGTAGTGGATACTACTGCAAAATACTCACTCCACAGCATGGATTATGCACCACACAAAAGAGGAGTTTCAAAATATTTTAAAAAGACACCTCAAGAAAACCCTCAGCCTCCCCTTAACATTTCAAAATAGCTCCCAAATGTCACTTTGATGCATTTTGCATGTTTGCAAATCAAAAAATTATATTAATTTCTATGACAGAAATAAGTGAATAGGTGTACTACTACATTTTTTACTCACAGCACAAGAGCCTGGCAAGGGTAATTGAAGTTACAAATGAAGATTAACCACATTAGATTTATGGCTGATGAAAGTAAGACTTGCTTGGTCTTGCATTTTAACAGCATTCAAGCTATATTTCTGCCTTGTACACACAACCTTCTGCACTGATCCTGTGTTCATTACTTGCTGTTCCTTTCCATATATTTCAAAAGGTCTGGGAACAGAAAATTATTTCAAGCTTTTTTGGTATAAGGCACAAAGTTTAGTGCTTGGACAGTCACGATCTGGAATTATGAAGCAAGAATTACAAATCTGTGAGTAAAGCTGGAGAAGCACTTAAGTGTAACAACGCTTTGCAGAAACTGCTTAACATCAAATACAGAGCACTACTAATTTCTGTAGTACAAAGTTTTTCCAGTTATTTCCCTGCTGCAAAGCTCACTTGGGAACAAAAGGGATCATTGTTAAAAAAGAATCTGAATATAAATGTGTTGTAAACTCTGACAAAAGGCTGTTACGTCTTGCTTTGTGTTTTGATGAGATTTACCCAAGTGCCCAAGTGCATAGATAGGAGTTACCTTTCAGAATATTTACTGAGCCCAAACATTAACTTGACTACTAACAGATCCTAATAACTCTAAACTCTGAAGATGCATCACAGACGAACACTTCTAATTTGCTGTGTTCAGAAATGTATTGTTACATTACTCTCATTTCTCCAAACTTTTTTTCCCTGCTGGCCGAAACTTATCATTGCAATATAAATGTAATAACAGTGAAAATATTAATGAAAACATGTTAACACTGGGAAAGTAATGACTCCAACCTGTAACTTCTCTTACACATTCTACCAATGATCTCTTAAGAAACAAGTATCAAATACCATGACTTTATACAAGTAGCACCACTCAAAATTTTAAGAAAGCACACAGAGTACGTTTTCAAAAATCGTATTTTTATTGTTTGCACTAACCGTAGCATCACTTACAGCTTTCACCTCTAGCAAACTGAAGCAAACCAGCAGACACAAAAAACCTATTCAAGGTCAGCACTAAAAGTGGAACCTTGGTTACATAAATGCAGTACACCTTGTTAACAGACCTAGGAACAGTTAGTTCATCCTAACACTTTAACTGCAGTCACTCCAGTGTCATGCATTTTTCAGGACTATTAAAAAGCGTCATTTTAGGGGTGCAAAGAGAAAACGGCTACAAGATTTACAGAGATCACTCATTTTTAAACCAAAATTCTTATGTCTAAATTACTAAACTACAGCAAGGACCCTTCTTCAGCTGTAAAAATTTTGCTCTGCAAAACAAAAAAAGAAAAAAATTAGTCACTTTGCTGTATTAAGCACAAGTAAGATCATTAAGCAGCCTAAACACTTTAACTAACTTGCTAGTCCGTACCGCATATATGCCCATTTCTGTGAGAAGTTTGCCAAGTTTAGTCACTAGTTTCTGGTTTTCTCTCTCTGAGCTGAAATGGAAGTGGGTATAAAACCAATCACTTCTGCGAGGGCTTTGCCTTCGTCTGGCTGAAAATCTGAGACTTACCAGACGAGAGCCTACATGTGATTCTCTATTGCTTATACAGAAACAGACCCACAAACCAAGATAGTCCGTTTGGTTTTATTAATTTCTGCAAGTTGTTTACAAACTAAATTTTAAAAATTAAAATGGTTAATTATTAACTAGTATTTTGATGAACAAGTTTTATCCTCTCAATTTCTGAAAGTAGTTCTAAATTGTTCCTAGCTGATGCATTTGTTATTTATCCCACTTCAATCCAAAAGCCAGCCCAGGAGGGAAGGAATGACAGAAGGTAGAAAACAATTCAGTTAGAACTGAAATACCATAGGACAAATAACAGATAGGACAAACATCTTGGTACATATTAAAGCCCTCCCAGGAGGCTATTGGGGAGTCCTGAACTAGTAGCCATCACTGGGAATTTAGGCTGTCCAGCCCCTCAGAAGCCACAGTACAGGCTTGGCCACTTTAGATTTTTAGTGCGTGAGCCTAGAACCTCCCTGTCCACACCCGAGGGACCCCCAGGATCAAACTAAAATAAAACTACGACAGCATTACTCTTAAGTATATTCTGCTGTGCTTCAAGGTGGAATTTTACCTGAAGCAAATCCTTAACCTCTAAAGATGCCAATAATGTAGGAGCAGAAACCGTGCAGGGATTCCCAGCAATGTTCCCGTGCCAGTTTCATTGCTTCCGTTTCATTCTCAGACCCTTGACCATGTTGGGTTGGTTTTATAAGAGGTAGTATTGAAGGTTTCCCTATTTTCTTAGCAGAGCTTCTCTCTGCTCCCCTCACAGAAGTGGAAGTTTTCTGGACTGATTTGTCCTGGTTTGCTAGATCTTCTGGCTCCATTCCAGCAGCTATTTGCTTCATGACAGCCTCTGCAGGAGCCTTTTGGCACATGGTGGTCTTCAGCACTTGTGTGGATTCGCAAGCGTGTGGGAGCTTTCTAAGTTCCATGGCGATCTGATTCCAGTACATCTTTGGATTGTTTCTGAAAGCACGACAGGCTGACGGCTTGCCCGTGAATTCACACCAGTAGGACATGCCTTGGCTTCTGCATTCAATTCTAAGTTTCATCTCCTCATCCCCACTCATGCTCATTGTGCAAACATCTTTGGTTTTAGTCCGAAAATTGATTTCTTCACCATTGCTTCTTTTCTTTGGCTTCAGCTTCTGTCCCAATCCTCCCATGCCACAGATTGCTACTAGGAAAAGAAGAGCAAAACTCTTCATGGTGAGAGGAGTTGACTGAGATCCTTGAGCAACAGGATCCAAAAAAACGAGAAGTAACTGGCTGCTCACAATTTAAAGGCTTGGTGCACAAAGAAGCCTCTTTGCAGCCAATGTGGGACGTAAGTTGTGTGTTTTGGTGTTTTTTTTTTTTTTTATAAAAATAATAAATCACATTTCAGTAGGCATGTGCCTATAATTTATAGCCCGAGGGAGTGGCAAATAACCTGTGAACTCCCAAGAAGGAAACAAGACAAATCTTGTAAATGCAGTCAAATACAGAACGATAGTTGTATAACTAAGCAGCACATTCCTATCCAGGATGAACATGTCATATTTGATTTTTAACAGATATTTTCCATTCTCCACCTGTTTCATAGCTATCTTCATGCCAGAGCTTGTAAGACCAAGTTAAAGCAAAAAAAAAAAGACAAGAGTGCCAAAGCAATCTATGCAACTACATCTGGATGATTATAAACGTGTCCTACTAATAAAGGCTGATTTCTGGAATGGGTTTTCTGTGGGTTTGCACAGTAAGGATGCAATTTTAATAATTCATTTTGTCACAACATGACATGCAGTGGGGACACATGGAGGAATCAACTGCACATACTTTCACCCATGAAAGATTTTTTAGACTTGCAATATTTAAGCGAGATAAGGAATAAAGCTTTAGCAAAATAAGGTACTACAGGCTTAAACATAAACAAAAGGCTTGGAAGTTTTATCACTGTTGTCACACTATGGGTTATTTTAAGAGCAAGATAACAGAACTAGCTTATCATGCATCTCAGCAGCAGGGAACAGACCCCAAGCATGCCAGACATGTTTGTGCTTTATCACCTTTCACATGTTTTTTTAAATAGGTATTTTCCTGTTGATAACAAATGAGCTGTAAAAATGCCATAAAACAAAGGCAAGAGAATAGAGATATTTTAGTGGGAGAATCTTGTACTAGCAGTTTCTGCTGCAGTAACTAAAAGCAGAGGTAAGGAAAAATCATGGTAAATCCCTTGGCATTCAGGAGGTCATGAGGAAAAATCCCTCCCATGCTATTCCAAGCCAAAAATATTTTTCTGGCTAATAAGACCCCCTTCTTTCGAAGACATGTATGCTACTGATCTGAACAGCTTCTGGAAGGGGTATTGTATGACTTAGGTATGCTCGAATAACTGTGGGGTGCTAGAAGCCCTGGGTTTAAGAATGGCCATACAAAATAGAATAGAATAGCGTTTTGTATATCTAGAGCCGCTCCATAGGTAGTGCTAAACAAAATACCAAAGCAAAAACATTAACAGACAGTGAAGCAGAACAAAGAAAATAAAACTGCAAAATATATTTCTCTAATACTTGACAATAGAGTCCCCAGCTGCAGTGGCACCCCAGCTAGTCCAAGAGCTGCCTGCTTGAAAATGGAGCCACCTGGAACAGCCATTCTCGGTAGCCTGAACCTTCTTGCTCTTCCAGTAAACACGTCATGAAGTTCCCCGTGACTAAATAACATTTGACTGAGAACAACATTGTTTTCTTTTCATCCCCTCTCTAAGGCTATTTTAATAACATTTTTCGTAAAGGTCTCATTCCTAGCATCTTGTCATTCACTCTTCCTGACTGTCTCTTTCAGAGCACAGTGGTGCGGCTCTCCAGTTAAACCTTACGCAGCAATGGTACAAGCCTACGTTAGATTTACAATTCACTCTTCTGTTGTCTTCCAGAGAGTCTTTTCACCCACCATCCAGCCAGACAGAAGAAACTTGTTGCCCACCTCACACTTCATTTCAAGGATTTCAAATTGCTACTGCAAGCACTCAAAGACCTCCTAATACTTGACAAACAAATGTATTATTTACATTTGGTTATGCAGAACAGCATTGACAGTTGAGTTCAAAACTACTTCAAAGTTACTTTATGCCAATTTCAGATCTCTTGTTCTGAAAGTTTTTAAAGTTTTCATGATTAAACAAACCAGACTGCAAAGATAAGGACAAATACCAAAGCTTGGACTCAAGAGCTCTGGTATTTTTATGTACTACAGTTAATATCTTACTGCCAAGTATTTGTTTCTCTCCCATCTGATATTTGTGTCCTCCATCTGCCTGTGCTTCAGCTGAAACAGCTCCTGGTCTGTTGTATCAGTGGAAAGCAATTGTCCTTTTACAAGTTAAGCTAGGATGCCAGCAGCGAACTATGGGAGCTGAAGAACTGGTAAACGTTTAATTCTGCTGTCAGTGCTACAAAAACAACAGAGGCAGGAGGTAACACCTTGAGCACCTACAGGGTATGTGGATACCCTCAACTCATTCACTCCAATCTTGTCATCTTTGCATAAATCACATCCCTTGTGGAAGGTGGAAGCTCCCTCACCCAGAGTCAATGTTCTTTCAGTCCTTCCTACTCCAGTTCTTGGTCTCTTATCTTGCTTAGGCTAAAGTCATCAATAAAAGTCAAATATAGCAGAAATTTTTAATCAGTGTAAAAAACCCCTCATTTTCATAAGATTTTAACCCAGTGCAACTCTTCTGAGACAGGTCTACACAACAAAACAATTGAGAATCAAACATCAGGTAGTTAAGCAAGTTCTTTTTTATTTAAATGAACTGGGAACATTTTCTCAAATTAAAAATAGAAACTTTTAAAAATCTGCAGTTCTGAACATTACATATACACATATGCTACATACTGTTAATTAGAAATCAATTCCGTTTATGACCTAAAAATGAAAAATTTAACGTTATTCCAGATTAAAGACTCGTATCACTTTTCAGCATTTCTTTAAAATTATATGAATGATTTACAGGATGATCCCTACTTCAAGCCAATGAACCTTGTTGGAAACAAAATTAACAATATTGATATATACGAAGAGACACTATTTTAGATCAATACACCCAATTACTTCACCCGCTGAAATGTTTTACACTAGTAACAGATACTTTTGGCCTTGTTGATGAATTCCGCTGGTAACTAATTCAGCAACGCAACTGTATGCCTAAATTCAAGGCAACAATTCTAGTAGTACAAGCATTAACTCTGTTTGCTAAACACATTTGAATTTCAATACTGGAAATATTTTGAAATTATTTAGCAAAAATAGTGTCACTGCCCCCTGAAAGAGCCACAGCTTAACAATGATACTACTAAGGACATTACAGAAGTGAGTGTGAATGAGGACAAGGATTACAGAGAATGTAAAGCATTCTAGAAATCACCAACATAGGACATCTCTCATGCTCTTTTTGAGTACTACTGAACTCTAGAAAGCTTAGCTTTTTCACTATATTATGCATCACGCACACTCCCAACCCTCCCACCCAAACAGTTCCAAAACAAACTTCTCCAAAAAGTCCCTTTTAGGTCTATACTGCAAAACCCACTACATATTAAATAATTAAAAAAAAAAAAAAAAGAGAGGGAGAAAACAAACTGCAACTGAACTTTTCAGAGACACAAAGAGACACTGTGGATCCCATTACACTTCAAATTTAGTCCAAAGTGGTCATTCAAGAGCACCAAATAGCAACACTGATCATGCTGGTAAATTAATTTGTGAAGAGTATTATACAATATTAAAATCTTAACTAAACACTTAAAAGTTTTAAGAAAAATGTATATACAAAAGTCTCTGTATACAAAATGTATTTTTATGTAAACGTGTTATGTGCTGTATTTAACACAAATCAACAATTTAAGATAAGAACTTGACCAATTGTCAGAGGTTGCTAGGCAAAGGCTGTTGATCTAATTAATTTATATACTGTGGTATAAGGTAGAAAGCCCAGTGTAAAAAAGTAAAAAACAGAAAATTTTAATTCAAGCCTTGAACAGTGGTATTTGAGAGGCAGTGCCCTGATCGCAAAATATTCTGTACAGTAGTTTATGGCATAACATTCAATAGTATGTTTGGGATTTACAGTACGGGTGACATAAAACAAGTGGCTCAGGATTTGGAAGATGAATGCAAATGCCAGTACACTTGGAAGAATAGTGATATATTCCCATAGAAGAATCTTGAGCCTCATATATATAGCCTGGAAATAATCACAAAAATAATTCAGGAAAATGTGATGAAGAGAGAATTATAATGCAATTTAAGCAGAATGAAGGCATAGATGTTCATATGAACATCAATATTATTCAGTAATTTTTAATTTTTTTTTATTTTAAAACCTTACAGCACTTCTTGTTACAGAAAGCAGAGCAGTCTTCTTAGAAAGAATAAAGTAGTAATAGACATAGAACCGACTTTAAAAGCTTATTACTTACCCCTTAATCTTTTCAGTACGTGTTACCACTGTTCCACAGAGCTATACAAGGAAAAACACAAACCAAACCCATCATTTTCTTTTGCCCACAAGTGGAACAGAAATACCATGTCTGTCTAAGGTGAGACAAGCTCAGCTGGCACAAACCGTTCTCAAACTTTTAGTCATTTAATTAAGAATTTTTCAAACAAGAGGAAATAGATTCATGATTTTCTCCACCAACCTTTCTGGTTATGTTTGTTTCATTATCGAAAGAAAAGCTTGGATTATCTAGTCACTCTTTTGAGAGTTTACTCCAGCCTCCAATTTTGGTCTCACAAAAATGGTGGCTGCATTTGAGGTTATTTGTATCTTTGACATGTATATAAAAACAGTTGTGTGATATCTATACAAACATAAGTGTAACTCATATATATCATACTTGTATTTATATATATTTATAAAGAAAGATATTTGCATCTCTTTCCAGCAAAAGAATCCAGTTGATTTAAAAGGACAAAAACACCCCTATGGAACTCTCTACACCTGCAAAAGTACAGGTGTACAGAGATCTATTCAAAGTCATATCTCTCGAAGTATCTCCCAATATAGTTTGTAGGAATTGAGAAAAAGCAGTGACAGCATAAAAGCAAAGAGCTTGCTGAAAGTAAAATTAAAAAAAGAGACTCTATTGCTATGGGAATCCCAGACTGAGAAATTCAAAGCATGTATCTCATAATTAGGAGTTTTCCAAATTACCTCAGTTAGCATATCAAAAGACAGCACTGCTTCAAACTGAATCCTTACATTTTAATATGGAAGCCCATTTTGAGTAACTTAAAATTTAGGAAAAGGAATTCAGGACTAAGCTAGCGGGTCTTTGTTTAAAAGATTATTTTGTTAGTAATTTTTAGGTTATTCAGGCAGACTGTATTAAACTATTCAACAATCACTGAAGTATCACAGAAGACATGCTATGAACCTCAAGAGTATTGACATTCATATTAAAGATTCAAAGATCAGAAAGGAACTTCTAAGGCCTGAGCAATTATTAGTTTCCTCTTACATAAAATACCAAAATTCCTTGGAAACTGAGAGTCCTTAGACATGCCAGTGCAGAGTGCTTTTGAATTCAACACCTTGTAGGTTAATTTAGGGAGTATCCTTAAGTTGCAGAACAGACCATACAACTGTGATCATAAGTATCACTAAAAACATCACTATATATAAACATTTCCTTCAGAAGGAAATGTGGAATCAAGAAGTGGTCAGTAAATAATTATTGTAAAATACAGTTCTAAAATAATAACATACAACTGATGCAGCCATACAATCTGGCAAGACTTCCAAACTTTGAGCGCTCTTGGTATTTACGCATTACTCAAAGAATGGTGATCTCTTACTTCTTTGCCAATGCTCAACCTATACCTTCAGTCACGAAGCTGCAAGTTAAGGCACAGTGAGCTACAGACTTCAATCATAAATTATATCCCTCCTTAAGCAACTTGGACATTCTGCAAACCTATGGAAGTCTCACAACTAGCTAAAGTTTTACAACGCAAAAGCTGCAGAGACAGAAAAAGGACACAAACCTCCTGCTTTTTAAACATAACTTTAATTTCTTGGTTTGTGATGTTACACTAGTTCTACCCACTCAGAAACACCCATTTTTGCTGTTCATGTTTTCTGCATACCCTGGATCACCTGCCTTCTGCACAGGAAAAGCTCTTCTCCTCACCATCTAAAAAATAAACCAACTCAGGAGTAAGAACGCATCTCATCCTATCACTTTTAACTGCTATCAGAGTATTTTAATATGTTTATCAATGTAGGACCACCCACTGCCCTAGATAAATACCTGACTGCCTGGATTTTAAGATCAAATTTAGCCAATTGCTTTGTTAAGTTCCTGGAAATTACTACAACATTTGCTGTCAGGTAAAGAATATTTAGGCAATACAAATCATGTACCATTTGCTATAATGAGCAATCATGCAAAAAACCATAAATAGAGTATTAAGTGAATCACTTTAAAACGTGCAGAAAATTGGATAGGTGATTAATTCAGTAGATTAAGTAAGGACACATGAAGGCATGCAGTTTCAGACTTGGTTTACCTTGTAAAAACAGGATTGTGTATACCATATAAATGCTCTTTATGATAACCATTATTACCATTTTCCGTACTGTAATAAAATAAATACACCAAGAAAGACCACGTTAACTATAAGATGCACTATGTACAGTATGGCTTCTAAGACATGTACATGGATGATGGTATTATATGCAAAGATAAACTGTGTCTGTACAATAGAATATAACTTTTCCTTTGTAACATTCAGGAGTTATGGCATAATTATAATTTTCCATTTTTTACTAATTTTATATTCTCCAAAACTTAATTAATTTTGCTATTCTTGTTGAATTTGATACTCTAATATAATCTATAAAGTCTGATGAAACAGAACATGTTACCTCTTTCGAAGTAACGAGTTACATTAAAAATATAAACCCTCCCACCTGAATAAAATAATTTTAACAAATACCAGCAAAAATGCCTTACGTTTTCATGGGTATAGTTTTGACACTAAAAAAAACACAGAAAAGGAGGAGTAATTAACTAGACACTAATAAGTGAGTAATTTTAGCTGTACATGTCTGCTTCTGCTCTACTGACTTGTGAATGTGTAATGAAAAACAACCAGTGTGAAATTTGAGAAATGCATTGGATAGGCTAATTGAACAATGAGCGAAACAAAGAGTAGGAAAAAACCAGTAAAAACAAAACTGATGGGAAAATATGTAAGAACAGTTATCATAAAGTAAAATGCCAAGTCCCTGAGACAGAGGAACTGCAATTGAAAAAGGAAAGACTGGTTAGGAATAACTAAGACAGTAAGAAAGCAAATAATTAATTCAAGGAGTTTACAAAGCAGGCATAATTCACCTTAACAGACTACTTAAAGCTAATCACTTGCACATTTGGAAGACATTTATACAAATACTGTGCACAAAGCTCTGAAGACCTCATTCTGCAATACATTTCTTAAAGTCAGAGCTGGCATTATCTGCACAGAATCGTGGCAAGTCAAGGCAACCAAAGCCCACTGGCGTGAAGCACTTTGCAGGCACCAACCCAAACCTGCAGGATTTCACGGGAACATGCAGTTCTAATCTGACAGCACAGTTTAAGGATTATAGCGCCTTCATGTGAGACACTAGAAAAAAACATTTCAATCCATTTGCCATGTAGTTTACTTAGGAGTATATACTTACTCATCATATACATCCTCTGTGTCCATTCTACGATAGTATTTGGAGAGTTTTACAGCAAAAATTATGGCAGGAATTAAAAATATTGAAGAGCCTCCCAAACCAAACCAGAAGGTATTCTGAAACAAAGCAAAATCCAGGAAAAAAAAAAAAGGGTCACAGAAAAAATTTATCAGAAAAGTACTGAATCCTTGCTTGATATCCTAAGCACTGTTACTGGAAGATCACAGTAAAAATTAGTGGCACTGGTCTTGTGGACTATCTGAGGCTCCTAATACTAGTGGGGAACAGGGCACATTAAGCATTTTCCCCATCAATGTGAGCTAAAGAAAGGACACCACCACCTTACAAACGTAACCAAACAGGAATATGTCCAAAGTTACTCAAAGCTACACAGCCACAGGGCCATAGGAAATTATTTCAACATAGCCAGCCTTGGGCTAGAAAATAATTTTGTGTCCCAGCATTAATTTACCAGCCACATTATTTGTTTTTCCTTTCTTGATATTTTAAAGTATTTGTCCTTCTTGCAGTTTTTGTCAAAAGAAAAAAAGAGTTTTCAGCGCTTTCTCGAGGTACTTTTTAACTTGCTGCAGCCTGTTTGTGTAACTAATTTCATTATCGTACAGCTGAACTGAGTTATCACCAGATGTTAAAGTGATGATTTTTCAAATTAGACTTGTATTGGCTGGAGGCATTTTGACTTATAAGTGACTCAGCTAAGTTCTATCATCAGGAAAATCATGGCCCATCTCCTACCAGATGGTTAGTGGCTACACAAAGGAAAAGAGTAGCTCTATAACATATGAGATAATCAATGAGCACAACGTGATACTGGCAGGTGAGGAGGTTTTCATGGTTAAGCATTAGCAAGGTCAAGTATTTCATAGTTGAGCATTATCCAGGTTAGAGTGCTTTGGCTTTGATTGATTACATGCATTTACCATTGGTATGATTAGAATCTGGCTAAAAGTGCCATAAAGCTAAATAATAGCTGGGAGACATTTCAGGTGGTTTTTTTTTTATTCTATTTTTAATACATGCTGTTCTCTTTCTAAGCTCTTTTGGCAAGATAAAAAGCCAATATTGCCGTTTATATAATGCTAGCAGTCAACCTCAAAGTCTCCACTGTACAGAAATGAATAAAGATCTGTCTGCTACAAATCAAATGACAAAACCAGGAATGATACTTGAGAAAGTTTTTCCTCGGTATTTCTCACTCACTTCTTGCCCCTGCCCCATCCTCTTACGTTAGAAATGGCTACAGCTGAAACTTCAGATCTTTAGGCTTGTCAAGGCGGTTCAGAATCAAGGAATCGAACTGAAACCCACCCTCCACAGATTTTTATTTCGAACCAGTAGTACTGTATTTACTTTGCAGTTCAAGTTGGAAGAAATTTAGTAAGGACAGTAAATTTTACAGAATCTAATAGATTAGATAAGGCTAATAGAGGCCTAAGTTTAAGGGGAATCTAAAACAAGTCCAGCACTGGTTTGGCTTTGGATTTGATCCAGATCAAAACATTTCTTCCTTGCATAAGTTCAGATGTGATACTTTATTATCATACTTCAGAATAGTCTAGCCAGAATAATTAAATGCAGATTTATGTTCAAAGAATTTCCCACTTGATGCCCCAATTTTGAGTAACAGAATATTTCTTACCACAGAATCAGTTATATAGCTGCATAAAAAAATATCTACTGCTGTATCTATCACATTGGCAATAGGCTTGCACGCTGCTACCTCCATGGCAATCTGAAAGACAGATTATAAAAAAAATAGAGTTTGAAGTATCTAACAGAATAAAATAAGAATCTCAAAACTTGCTTACAGTGACAGATAGTGTTTACCAAATTGTTGTCTCTCACCCTATCCAAATTCAAAATAAATTCCAGTGGGATATGCTATTAACTGAACATCTCTGAAACAACAGCTTACTTTCTCAAGGCCTACAGCTCAAGGAAGAAAAACAAAACAAGATGCTAATGACATCAACTTGAACTAAGCAGGGTCAGGCTCAGTGCACAATTAGCACAAATAGTAGATATCAGGCTAGCCCTGGAAAAATGATACTGTGTTAAATTTGCATTTTATTCCAATCAACACAACTCATCATTTCTATTCTACTTCAAACACAACAAAACTATTTATAGAAGACAGGTTTTCCCCTTCATAATAAGTACAAATAGCTTACAAACTGAAACTATGTAAGTAACATTATTATTATTATCTTGTTAAAGTTAATTTTTTTTAAACACAGCTTCTCTCAAAGAAGTAAATGCACCTTACCGACTCCTTGACCCACTCAACGTATTGCTCAAAGTAGCCAACTATGGTATCCATGTACTTTTTTGTCTCCTAAGAACAGACAAAAGTAAATGAACCTCTATCTCCATGACATCATAAATTAATGTACTTTAATCAAATAAAGCTTACCTGGACAATAACCAGAGAAGCATTGTTATTTATGAGAAGCTGGGCAGCATTAACAGCGCTAATGACATTTTTCACCTTAACCTGGAGAGGAAAAGACAGTGTTTAATACAAATAAATCCTTTTCACACTGTTACTATGGCTCTGCAGCCATTGTCAGGAAACTATTCTCCTGATAAACCAGCACCACTGTCCTGTCAAAACCTGCAGTTCCAGCCTGTCTAAGGATTCATGATCATCTGACAAAATTACCTCACTACTAAAAAAGGAGGGTATCCGTGATTACAGTTATCTTTTCCTAGAACCTATGTAACTAATTTATATACTAGATCAGCTTTCTCTTCCATTCTCTTTCCTCTCCTTAAGCATAGAAGTATTTCCATCAATGTATATATATATATATATACACACACTACAGACACACACAGTGCACACAGAAACAGTGGGCCATACACTATCACAACTCTTGATTACTAGAGTATGATTCTATACAGCCAGAATATGCTGCTAATCAACATCCAAAAGGACTGAGACACTTATTCAATATAGGTACAACCCCATAAAGTTTCTCAAAGAACTCACACTAAGGATAATGAATATACAGCCTGAAACTGTAGAGTTGTTTCTTAAATACACTTAAGGGTCAAATGTCATCCTCCTCTATCAACACCTTGTATCATGGCCTCTTACCACCCCATCCAGGTTCAAATTACAGACTCTAAAAGAAATCTAGCTGGTCTTCGGGTGGGTGAAAACCTTAATGGGAAGAACTGAGATAGGTACAGCCCATCAAGCTGTTGTGACTATGACTCTTAAGTACTAGCTAGTGTGGCTGGACTCTTGCTACCAGAGCCAAGGCAGGCTGGTGGCCACAGAAAGCTTTGCTGCCAGAAAAGGAACCATCCTGTTGCTTATTCTCCTGAGTCTGGCAGAGCATAAAAGGCAGCTGGTCTCATTGCGGTGCAGGCACTAGCTGCTACTTGGCGGGGAAACACAGCCTGCCCTGGGGAAGCCTCTATACAGATCCCAGTTCCCACAGCGAGGCTGATGGTGCAGAAGCAGGAAGGTAACGAGCACAATGCTAAAGAAACAGGCCCCAGGGGGAGCTGGACATTGGACAAGAGGCGGTTAAGGATGTGAATTACAAAGCTTTCTTTTCTCAGTTGTATTATTGTGTTTTGTTTCTTCGTTGTCCCCCCCAAGTTTTGCATTCAAGGATCCTAGAAAAAACAACTAAATTTTTAGGAACTTGTACAACACTATGTGGAACAGAACTGAAATCTACTTTATCATGTGACAATTAAGTTTACCGTTCATACTTCCAAAAATATCCCAAACATTCTTTTTTCGCCTTTTTTTTTCTCCTCCTCTTTTTCTCCTCTATAAGGAAAAGACAGAGCAGAAAAAGCTGTGCAGATGAGATATCTAAGTCTCCCTTACTACCTCATGCATTACAATCTCTTCCAATAACAGAATAGCTAGAAACAGAAAAACCTGTACTGAAAATATGCACCCTGCATATGCAGCAGATGGATTTAAAACACATAAAAATGTTCCTGTTGCCAGAAAGAAAAACTTACTGTAAGTTCAGATGATGTCCTTTTCAGCAACCGAACGCTCTGATTTAAAGTGCTCTATTAGAAAGGAAGGGGAAGGGAAAAAAAAAAGATTCAGGTCATTACTACAGGTAAGAGCCCACCTGTTTTAACATTATATACATGCTCTGATCTTCTACTGTATCACATTATATATAGTAACAACAGCGGTATTAAAACTAATATATTGTGGTTTTAATTGTTGAATCAGTATTTCACTGACAGCACTAACTAGTTATGAACTGTGTTCTGGAAGACCTGAGATTTAACTAAAGTCAGCAGCAATAAACTGGGTAAGATTTATCTGGAGGGAAGAGAGAACAGTTAAAATCAGAACCAAGCGTTCAGAGAATTCTACATTGTGCAGTTTCAGAAGGGAAAAAGCACTTACCCTAGCTTTAACATATTTCTTGACAGTCAGTTTTGTAAAAGGAAAAAGAGATGAGAATAATTAGGAGTTAATTAGGAAAGAACAGCATAGAATCAGAGGGGAAAAGAAGACCTAATGCTTTTCTACAAGAGGGCTTTGATAGGGGCAGAAATACTGCATCAGATGCTAGGATAGACTAAAAATCTTTGATATTAGGTAGAGGAAAAAGCACCACCTAGCATGTGTGAGATTCACAGTTTGATACTGCACAAATCAGTGCCTTGCAAAATCAGGCAGAAGCCCTTTCACATCTTTTACAGCATCAATAAAAAAGATTTTTATTTGGCTCTAAATGCTACTGTCAGGAGTTTCCAATTCCAATACTGTTAGACAATTGCTAACTCCACGAAATAAAGTCTGAAAGTGATAAGTGATTTTATTACTGAAACCAAACGGTAAGCAAAAAAGAAAATGATTGATTTAGGGTTAGAATTTTGGAAAGTTCTCTCCTGCTTCCTCTTTTATTCATATATAATCACAAATAGACACAGAAAAAAGTGGGGAAGAAAAAGGTCGTGATTTTAGACAGTATTATAAAGTAGTAGTATTACAAGTAGGAAAACTATCATACACACACTTTAACCAGATTATTCCTCGGTGACACAATGTAAATAAGGTCTGTGATTATATAATAGCAGAAGTCCAGCTTTCTAAACTGTATTTAAGAGGTTTAGAGATTCATATTTTCTACAAATACATTTTAATATTGCTTTAATATTTTACCATAGCTTGCTCTAGCGGAACGACTTGCTGGTTATGAATCATTCGAATGTTGTTTGCGTGTCCTTTTAAGGCATTTTCCAGTGCTCCTTTTGGCTGCAAAAAGTGCAATTATGCAGTATTGTTCAGTAGTTTCAAAGCTTTCCAACAAGGCAAAAAACCAATGAAAGTTGCACATTATACTCATCCACTGCAGAACAGCTGATGCTAACAACGGGATATGGCAAATTGAATGTCTCAACACAAGGAGGGGAAAAATCACCATATTAATAATTCAAACCTCAGCAACCAAAACAGATATATTATAGTGCTCTTCTGGCTATAACATTATCAGCACAGATTTAAGTAAAGAGAATTTTCACATGGTGCACTAAGTCACTTTAAGCACAGAAGAGTGAGCACACCCCCCCCTCACCACACACCAGACTACATCACAAGAACCCTGCAGCACGGCACCCCCGCTGCGACGAGCATCCCCCAGTCATGGCTACTCAAGCATCCCCCAGTCATGGCTACTCGCTTTTGTTCCGGGCATTGCGGACATCGCCCTGAGGTGCACTCTGCTTTCCGAGGGGCACAGAAGTTTAAATATTTACAGCCAGTAACTTGGAAAGACGTCTGTGAAGGGTATTCTTCATTTTTGTGGCTCCCGCCTTTCAGTCAAAGATAGGAGTTTGTGCCCTGATTTTCAAGTCCCAATTCCTGTCTGGAGCTCACATTTGTTGCAAAATACTGTAAAATTTGGATTTTACTCTCAGAAGTACATTTGTTTTCCATTTCCTTTTGGTGGCAAAAGCACTTGGCTCCCTGCACACACGCTGAATACACAGGGAACACATACTGCTGACTCCGTTTTGGAAGTGTAACAATGGCAGAGCTCAAGGCTCAGAGATGTGTTTGCGTCCTATGAAGTGTTCATGTAAGCGGTCAGCTGCAGTCATGGAGCTGCTTCAGGATGCTTCATCTCCTGTACTGACGACCTGAATTCATTTACCCAACAACACCTGTGGATGGTATGGCTCCTTCCTCCATACCCTGACCCCTTGGTTTGATGCAAGTTTTATTCCATTTGCCCCTTCCAGTATAAAAACATACGTTCAATTTTGTGTTAGGTGTCAGAGAAAGTAACCTATACACCCAAAGTTAAGTAATTCCAAAAGTTTTTAGTTTATTTTTTTTTAATTGATTGTTCTTGTAAACTTTAAGAGCTACCACTAATAACAAAGTGGAATTATAAAATATCCTTGGAAATCAGTATAAATTTTGAAACAATCTCTTTTGTAATTCATTGTATTGTTGGGTTTTTCAGGGTTTTTTAGACATTTCAGAGAGTACACCAAATAGCATCACAAGGATGATGTACACTGTGACACTGAACACATTTAATAGTGTTTTTCTTTGTGTTTTATATGAAGAAATTACTCTGCCTAATCTATTCTGAATTCTAATACTTCCTTTAGATTCTATTACAAAAAATAATGACAAACCAATCTACAAGCATAATGTATTTTCCTTTATGGAGAATACACTTTTAAAGGGACATCTCAGAGGCAATTCTATGTAAGACATAACATGTTTGAAGAATCTCAGCTTTCACTTAGAACAGAGCCCCAAAACAACAGCAAAAACTCCCCACTTGTATAACTCTCAAAGTGGCACAGAAAAAATGGAAAATGAAAGTGAAGCATGGCCAAAGCTACTGGTATCTGTCCAAGTTAGCAGACAACCTACAGGAGTAAACAGGAAACGTGCCACTCACTGGTGCTTGGAGAGGATAACAACTACAATACAAAAAACCCCATGAGCAGCCTAACCTTTTACGTGCGCACGTGTGGCATAAAAACAAAAAGAAACGCAACAGGTGTCATCAGATTATGCAAAAAGCTGGAGTAAACGCACCAGGAGCCTCTACTGGTGCCGTCCTCTCCCTGGAGGAGGGATGGATATCTGGCAAATTCCAAACAGCACCGTCTCTCTCTGCTGTCTTGTGTCCTTTAACGATCCAAGCGATTGTAGTACGTGGGCAGCATAACTCCCTCTCCTGCATCGCAATGCAGGAATCTGTCTTGGGCCAGTGTTCAATTTAGTGTCCAAACTATGATTCTCATTTTGAAAAATAAATATGAAGTGACCCTGACATGCATACAAACTATTAACTTAGTATTCACTATCTGTTAACACAGCTGTGTCACTCTGCAGATTCATTTGCGGGCAATGTGTAGCTATACCCTCTGACCATTGTCCATGTGTCTGCATTCAAAAAGCCCTTCAGAGCAGACAGGATCTCTTTTGTGTATTCTCCCTCCACAATGGAGCCTCAGTTCTCATTAGAGCCCTTATGAGCTGCCAGAGTATTAATTTTATTGTTAATTGCAAAATCTTCTGCTCACTAACTGAAAGATAATTAATTCAAATCACTTTTTCCATCGTGATCTAACCAGTTTTTCTTCCAACAGGGACCCTAAAATGTATACAGCATAATAGGAAACACTTGAATGGCATATTCCCCTCATTTCTTAAGCAACCAGAATTCAAGAAATTACACTTCCAAAGCACGAATTGTAGAACAGTTAGCATACAAGAATCAATAATTAGCAATATTTAAAATACAGCTCATATGCAACATTGCTCTTGAAAGTGTTTCCTTACATGACAATGCACCACATACGTGTGTCTGAAGTACGAGAACTCTCCCGTAGGAAGCCTAAATACTTGGCTACATATTTATACTTACATAGGATATAAACGATATGTTTTATGTATTACTGTATTAGTGAATTAAACTTACCAGCTGGTCTGCTCTTGCTTCTAAGTCATTAGCAAATGACAGAAGATCAACCTTGGTAACACTTTTATTGATCTGAAACAAGATGAGAACAGTAAGGAAAGAAAAGGAATATGATGTTATTACATATACAGACTGTTTCCACTTAACCACACCACCTTCTGTTTACTAGTGTCTCACCTCTGTCAAATATGCTGCAAAGTTTATCCCTTCTATTCCTGAAGAGCTGAAATTCAGAAGATTCTCCTTCCCAATTTCATCCAGCAGAATGATTTTGCTGAGGTTTATCTGAATATGTTCAATTTTAAGTGCTACATCTTCCGTATACTGAGAGGGAAACAAAATAAAACACAAGAGTAGTTTCCGCCCAGTGCATATTGCTCTATAGCCACCCCCAGCCCCCAAAGTATCTTTTTTTTGCTGATTTGTCACTTCCATGAAGAAGCACAAATTGATTTTTGCTTACATCAGTTAAATTCAATTAACTTTGATGGAATCCACCAGGTAATGTTCTTCCCTTCCCTGTAGCATCCACACAGTCTAGCCATGCCATGTTCTAACTACCTATGCATCTTTCATACCAATTAATTACTTGCCTTCCATTACTTTTTAAGGACTCTCTGAATAGATGTTAGTTAGTCACTACTAAAGGGGACTGAGATAAAACAGAATTCTCCTTCCCGTCCAGGAAATGCTATCCTTAAAAATTTTAAGTTCCATTCTAGCCCTAATCAAGGAAACTTGGAATTCAGTACCTCAGCTACGGCTAGGATAGACACTGTCTGCTCTATTGGCCACAAGACTGGATGAGACTTCTCTAAATGTGTTTAGTGGTGACTAAAGATGATTTGCTTATTGTTACCTGCAGTCTTCCTTCACTGCACCCAAATCTAAAACGTTACCTGTCCTGCACAGGCCGCAAAGGAACAGATGAGGAATCTGGAAACCTGACTTCCTTCCCAGTCTCCATCATTCGTCTGTTGCAGAAACTCAAAATAATCTTTCCTCTTAGTGAATCTTCCCTGTTCATTTTAATTGTATATTATTTGGGGCAGTGACTGTATCTATTAAGTGTGGGTACAGTGCCTGGCAGAACAGAACATGGATCCCCTAGGGATTGATGTAATGAAGATTAGTATTATAGGCAACCCCAAAATTAGTACAGTCATGTAAGGACACTACAGTCATGTATTATCACAGCTTAACTGGAAAGATTTTATTTTATCCCAACCCCTTCCCACTGAAATCAGAACCATTCTTAGGAGATCATCATATCATATCCTGGATCAACGTAAGTCTGACTGGAATCTGAAGAGAACACACTAGAGAAAGGCATAAGCAGCCTTTGGAAGATGCTACACATGAATCTTCTATACAAATTTAGAAATTAAAAACATTATTATCAGCACCCATAAAAAAAAGCACATCAGAAAACTTTCCATGGCCCACTGAGACTGGTAGGGAACAACCTACTTGTAAAACAGATTTCTTTCTTTCAAATTCTGTTGGACAGTTCTTGTCTCCTTGCAGGATGTATTGTATTTAAACTCCAAAATCCCATAAAACCCAGACATGCTATACTGTGTTTAAGAGCAAACACCTCTCCAGCCTTCAAAAATAATCACATACTCAACTCATACTTTCTTTACGTACCATAGTAATATTTAGAAATTCATTGATATTGAACAAGTGTTCTAGGTGAAGGGAAGTATAAATTCCTTTGTTTTCCTTGCAATCACTATAAAAACAAAAATGCATACATCAGCCCAAAAAACCACCTTGAGGACCAAGTGTTAAGAGAATGATTAACAATGTTTTCATATTCTGAGAAAATCAGCCCTTTAAAAAAAAAGTTCTGGCTATATTTTTTTAAGCTCAGTCTATAAGAAAGCAAGTAATTAACAATTTCTGCTGCTCTCAAAGATGCAAAATGTTTTATCAAAGAGCATAACTAGTATCGTTATACAATATTACTCTAAGACTACCTCTAATAACTCATATACAGGAGAAAATTGGTTTTGCTAGTAATTCACTAGAAAAATCATGATGTCTTCTGGAACACATGCAATTTTCACATATGCTTGAAATATGAAGCATAGAAGATACCACAAAAACAGTATGTATAAATTGAATTAAATCTTGACCATAACTTTAATACCTGTACACTTTTTCAAAAGTCAAGTTAATATTTGGATTTTTAAACAGGATGCCAGAAAGATAGTTTTTCCAGTGTTTATTTAGTAAGTAGGGAGTATCCAAAACCTAGAAGACAAAATTCAGTAGTGTTACTATAATTCCAAGTCTTCAATTCATGAATTTTTCATATGTGATCTTTTGACACATACCCACCTCTAAGCTTATCACCCGCTAATGGAAACAGAAGCAAAACAGTGAATTCAAACTTTCTGCTGCAGAAAGTATTAAAGCTCTACATCACCAAGAAATGCTGAATCAAAGAAAAATTTATCTCCAAAGGAAGACAGGCATGCAGTATTTACACTGCAAAGCAAATTAATCCAAGAAAGGATGAATGTCTCTATTCAGTGTGTAAGGGGAAAGTAAAATCAGATCCAAACTCACTTGAAGTGTCCCATAAAAAAAATAATGCCATACATAACTGACAAGACCATCAGGACTCATAAGTATTCTATTCACTGTTTAATAAAACTTGAGTAACTTCACCTTGAATAAAGTTTTATCTTCAAAGGGCTCACAGACCAGTTTTTCTACATTTCCACCTGTGAGAAAAGTGAGCACCACTACAATCATCAGCACCCAGGAGAAAAGAAAACTGAATCCAACACCACTGAAAAAGAAATAAGTTGAGTAAGTTTTTGCTTTTTAAGAACAGAAGTACATATACTCGGGGCAACAGTAAAGCCAACAGTTAGCAGCTGTAACAGGGATATGAAAACTGAGAGATGGCTGAAATACTTCTGTTTTCCAAGTATGTTCTTGCCCTCTGAAACACCTTCTATGTTCCAGCCCTGTGAAGTCTTCAGCTAAAGTGCATCTAAAATACTCATATTTGCATTGGGTGTGCAAAACACAACTCTGAAAAGAGTTAAGAGCCACAAAAGCATACAATTTTCTTTTTTTAAATTCAACACTCTAGCCTTGTGCTCTCAAAAGAGTTTTAGACAGATTTCAGATGCAACCTTCTCTTGCATCCAGCAGAAATGACATTAAACCACTACTGGGAACTTCCAAGAGCAACCCCAAACCTCCTAAAGTGCTCTGAGAAAGTCAAGTGTTTCTCGTCTCTTTGCGTGGCTGCCTTTTTTTTTTTTTCCAAACAAATGCCCAAGTGTACTAAAAAGCTATGAATTCCCTTTATACCCTCAATTATCTGTTCCCAGTTTTTGCCATTTCCAAATGGGCTTACACAGAAATGCATTAGCTACAGTACTCTCCTTAAAACAGTAGATTCAGAGGTTTTATCCTTCAGCTATGATCCTCAATGAAAGAGCAACCTAAAAATCTACAAGTGCTTCAGTGGAAGTACCTACAACCACTATTTATTTTTGTTCTTGTCTTTTTTCAGCACATACACATAGGTAACAAAAATTATTTTCACAAATAAGTCCTTCAAAATCAATAAAAACAACCTCCTACATGTATCTATTTCCTTTTTCACCAGTAAGTGAAACTTACGCCATAAGAAAGTTTCCTCCAGTGTTGGAGATGCAGCCTCTGGTTGTTGGAGAAGCATGTTTATCATAACCACAGGTGCCACACAGCAACCCAAGATAGTAAAAGACCAGAATCAGGACCAATATGCAGCACAGAATGAGACAACCCAGCCACCTAAGGAATAAACGCCAAAGTGCTTGGTTATCAGCATGCAAAGAACACAGTAGAGACCTGCAGAATACATCAGGCAATACTATATTCCTGGCCAGCCCACTCGTGGTCAAGCTTGAGCAACAAATGTTAACAACGAAAAAATGCTTTTCAAACACTAGCCTGTAGTTTGGGCCAGAACACAATCACTGTTGGGTTACAGACAGCTGCTACCAAAGGGCTGGGGAACAAACATCACGGGAACAAGGTGTTCCCAACCCCAGTTACTGCAGGTGGACTGTGCTGAAGTGTCAAAGTGCTCCAAGTGGAGCAAACAACGACTCAGAGGAGTCAAATGCTCAAACAGTAAATTTTTCAAGTAGCAATGGAGAAATTTATGAATGTGGACTGGCCATGGGTCATAAAGTATATAATTGCTTACTGTAAGGCTTACTACTTTTTGCACACAGTGTGTGAGGCTTGTAACTGTAAATAACTGTATTTCAGGCTATTAAAACCTAGGCTTTGTGTGTCTGTGCTGGAATGCTTTCAATGTATGGAGTGGTTAACGGAACTTGATCAGGAGAAAGATCTTCAATAGGAATTGAACTTTCACGTTTATTAATTAAATCTCATAACAGTGCTATCTGCCCACATATGTGGAATACATCCATTTATTCACACATTTCATATATCATTCTAACCTTTTACCCTCTCCCAATTCCCTCTGCTCTTCCTTTTCCCTTTTGTCATCACTTCTCCCAATTTATTTTTCTAAAGTTTCCTTTTCTCCTCCCTGTACCTTTGTAGAGAGAAAGCAGAAACCAGAAAAATCAGAAGAAGGAATATTTTCATTAAAATGCACAGCCAATAGAGAAAGAAAAATATTAATGCTGACAGGCACATTCATAAAAGAATACTTATTAAGAACTACAAATAATGCACCTGTAATTAAGAAAGGGATGGATAGAAAATAATTTGGACAACTACAGGCTTCTTGGTTTAATTTGCACTTGAAGTACCACTAGGTTAGGTTTGACAGGAACAGGTATTTAAGTGCCATGTAGATGAGATAGGTTCAAAAAAAGTGAGGAAATACACACAGAAGATTAACAGAGGCACACTGTAGCAGAATGAAGCAATATATTTATTTGGTTAAATGCAATCTGAGCTTTGAAGAAAATATTGATAAATTTGTCAAATTAAGGCTCACCACAAAACCTGCCAGATAAGGAATAGGCTAAAGGTAAGGATGTAAGTAAGGTTCTTAAAGTTCAGTCTTCTGTTCACTTTTATTTAACATTGCATTAAAGCTATTAGCACACATTCCGTAGCAGTGAAACTGATTATGACACAAAGATAGAAGTAATTATCAATTATAGGATCAACTGAAGTGTCAAAACATAGGGAGAATTTGATGAGCTTGAGGATTGAAATGAATAAATCTGGACAAAGTTAAATATTATGAAATGAGAAGCTTTATGCTCCCAAATATGAGATTATCACTCAATTACAGGAGTCACACAGCTTTCAAATAGGAAGAATATGTTTTTCTCAAGGTACAATCAACCCATGCATTCACAAGGACAACTACTACACCAGTTGGAACAAGTATGGGTGTACAAAGATTTAGAAGGTGTGAAGCAGAATCCCTGCTACTCCTCCTCTGTGGTAGAAAGGGTGCAATAAGAAGGAATTGGCTTCTTATTAGGGGTTAGGCCCCTCTGGTCCTACGCTCTCACAAATTACCTGTGACTCAATAAAAAACAACCCCTAAATAAGAAGCCACCCTGACACTGTGAAACAATCCACTCCTTAATGCATTACATCTTCAAAATCTACCTTTCTTCAAAAGACCTGAAGGCCTCCAGAGCAGAAACTACCTATTGCTCTGTAGTGGAACACCACCCAGTTGTTGACTAGATGCAGTTCTGGCTTTTACCAAAATGCCAGCAACAAACTCCTGCTCATAGCATTTTTGTTTCACTGTATTCGTCATTAACAGTTAATTGCCTTTACAGATACTACATATATTGCAAAGTATTAACAACAGGTAGCACTTCACTCCTGCCTCATTTCCTGTACATACCTGTAGAAATCATACTGCTCTACTACTGGAAAATAATCTTGAACGTATGCTTCACTCTGTGTAAGATATATCATCAAATCTGCTAATACCTGCTGAAACGGGAGCGTTTTTGTGAAGGTAGAAATATTTGAACCAATGGATTCCAGCACGTTTTTGATATCTAAAAGAATAAACATATTGCACTGTTACAGATCCATAGAAGAAATGTACATTCCATGTACGCATTATAAAATGATATTAAGCCATTTGCCACATGGAACAAGCAAGGCATGAAGACAAGCATGAGGAAGAGACAAAAGCAGGCAACAAAAACATTGAGCTTCAAAGTAACACAATGGCATTTTAAAATGCACACTTTATTTTTAGCATTCAGATTAATGATGAAAGACGAGGATGTCGAGCCAGAGTTCTCTTTCCTTTTGTTATAATGAATGTGTCACTTTTTATCTAGCCAGCTTAAATCTTGCTTTTCATGCAATATTGCAAATGGTAACACTGAGCAAGACAATTAGCCACTAAGTTCACGAAGAAGATCAAAATCTATTTAAACTCCATCCCTTGGGAATACAATACTGTGAAAGAAATTAGACTGCCTATATTGAGAATCTATACTAGTTATTTTCAATCTTATTAAAAAAATATTACTTAAATAAATTAATTCCAATTAGTTAGCAACACTCTTGAGATAAGGATCAATTAAGCCTTTTTTTCCCCCTTCAAATTATGAGCAAACATGCTACCCTATACTTACAGTTTAGATACACACTATCTAGATACACAAGGACATGATCAATTCACTTATATATACATCATTAGTTTGCAAAATGCAGTTTCTGTTTACTCTTCCCCTTCTTTCAACTTGGAACATACTTGAAACAGGGTGATGCAGAACTATAGGTTGCTATTTGGTAGTAGGCAACACCTTCCTCTTTCTCAAACAACAGGACAAGTTTTCGGCTGTTTGTTTTGATGTTTACTCTACTAAACTCAACGAGGAACCAAAATGCTCTTTTAAAAGTTTACAAATAATTGCAATTTTTTTTTCTAGTAAATCCATTTTTTTTTATTTCCTTTGTAAAGGAAGCCCAGTTTTTATAAAAACGAACCCCCAACAATTTATAAACAGATAAATTAAGATGGCTTGTCTGTGTTTGTGCGTATCAGCGCATACAAAAAAAAGTGTAAATCTGCACTAGATTTCCTAATGAAAAGCCTAACATCAGTTTTAGAAAACTGGCTCAATTTAGGCTATGCTCGTATACATAACTGCACTTCATTTTGCC